TAAACTCGTCTTCAGCAAGTTACTTAACCTCATCTTAAAAATGAGAATAATTTTGATATCTAACTCATGGAGTTATTGAGTGGAATAAATGAGTAAATGAGTAAAGTGATTAGAACAGTAGCTGGTGTATAAGAAGCTCTATAAATTTAAAGGTTATTCAGAGTTGATGAGATCACATGCAATGCTCGCAATGGAGGGCCATGAGAGGCAGACGCTGTGCTAAAAGCTTTGCCAACCACTATCATTAATTCTGACAGCAACTCTATGCAAGAAAGAGTTACCATAGCTGCCCTGGTACAGAACGGCCTGCTTGTGAGGCTGGTACATCACTAACATCTGGGAACTTGGCCTTTCAAAGAATCCCTAAGTTACTAACCGATAAGGCAACTTTGTCCACCTGGGGCATTGAACTCTGCTATACCAGCCCGCTTAGGTTGTTTGTGCAAACACTGTGATTTATGAAGAACACGTGCTTTCCTTCTGAGAGTCTGGAATGCTGGTAGTCCTGTCCCTGATGAAGGAAGGAGCAAGATCTGTATGGCCATGGGAAGGAGAGCAGAGGAAGCCTGAGTCTGGATTCTCCAGGCAGCACCTGGTATGTCTTTTTCCCTTATGGATCCTTCTCTGTGTCCTTTAACTGTCATAAATCTTAGCCACTATATGTTGAGTCTTCTAGTACATGTGGGTGGTCATAGGATCTCAAAAAACAAAAGAAAGCAAAACAAAACAATTCTCAGAGGTATACAGTGTGACTCTAATTTCATAAATTTAATAACCCGAGGAACGGAAGAGTTGATATGTCGACAGGGCCACTCAGTAGGTGAAAGAGCTGGGACCTATATCCTGCCTGTCTCCCTCCAAAGATCATGTTCATTCCGGTGTGTGAGGCAGCCACACCTGATTATACACATTCTGGGCCAAAGAAAACTTTCTAAGGCACAATGACTGGTAGCTACGGGCTAGTTATACAACCTTGGGTAAATATCTTAAAGGCTTCTGAACTTCATATGTATTCACTGTAAAACTATAATAATTATAATATCAGTATCATAGAATTGCTGTGAGGATTTAATAAGATTATATGTATATGTCATATGTGTGAAGCATATACATATTAAATACATAATATATTAAAATCTATAAAGTATTTAGCCCAGTGCCTCATAAAAGGTAAACCTCAATGAATGAAACAGCTAGATAAATATGTACATAGATGGCCAATATACATTTGCATAAATATGTACATATATACATATATTCATATGTATCAATAGATACATACATATGCATACAAGTTAATTACTCATCTGACTAGTTCCAACTTAACTATATAACGTCATTCACTATTTACAAATGAAGCCAATTAGGGTTGTATAAGTGGGCCTGATTTTTACATCCACAGGTTTCAATCTAGGGGACCATTCTTACCCAGAAACCTTCTATTCAAAGCCTAAAAGATGACTTTCTTTAATGTTTACCCCGTGAAATTAATTATTAGCTGGACAATTCAGAGCTTTACTTAAGAAACTACATGGTATTCGTCATTAGCTCTAACATATATATAAGTGGTGGTCACATTTTCATAACTTACAGTTAGAACTGTGATCTAGCAATGAACTGCTGTGCTGGGAAACTGGAACTCCCTTAGAAACTCTAACTTCTATACAGAGAGAATATTCAATCCTCCTAAAACCATGGAAAGCAACCTCTGTGGTTAAGATCTGCTCTCAATAATGACTGATTTTATCCCTTCCATCATGATTTTACAGCATTTATGTTTACAGCATTACAAATTTATACTATACTTGAAGTATGATTACTCACTCTTTGAAAATCATTTGGAAACAATTCATGGCATCCTCTATCTTCCCTCTGAAGTCGAGATGTGCAATATCAGTCAGTAAATTGTAGCAGAAGAGGTTGGTTTTCTCCTAGAATTTGATGCCACCAAGTTTTCTTTCTGGAGCCAAGATGACAGAACTAATTCCAACCCAAACACACCATTTTTCTGTGGGAAGCCCCCATCACCCCAACCAACTTTGAGCTCGCACGTATTAGCAGTAATATCCATTTGGAAATTCCTACCCAAGTGGCCTCAGACAAATTATTGAACCTACTGGTGTCTTTGTTTCCTTTTCTGTAAAACAGAAATAATAAGAATACCTGCCCTATAGTTAACAACAAAATGTTGTGCATTTAAGCATTTAAAAACTTGTTAAGAGGATTGGCCTCATGTTAGGTGTTCTTACCACACAAAGAAATAAATTTAACAACAAAAATAATATCTGCCTCAAAGAGTTTAAGATATTTAAATAAGTTAATATGTGTAAAAATCATTAGAAAAGTACCTAGCACATAGTATTGAATGAATGAATGAATGAAAAATATATAGTATACAATTTACTGTTTTCTAATTGCTTCTATATCCATCTTATTGCCCCAAAAAGACTATAAGCTGTTTAAGACCAGGAGCCACAATGGCACTATATACATGTCTATCTACCTTCCACTCGCAGTGAACTTAACCCCAGCAGCAGACATATTAGGCCATTAATAAACAGTTGTGAGTTTGACTGTAGCAATATCAAATAGGAGAAAACACCCCAGAATACACTGAGTGCCTTTCTAACCAATGCCTTTAGATCAGTGGCTTTCAAAATACTTGACCCCAACACAATTTTTATGTTGCTAATCAATACACACATATGTTTATATAATGTATATCTAACTGAAATTAAAGTTTTGCAGAACAATACTTAACCTTAGTACATAAAATATGCTCTGATGTTTTCTATTCCAGTTAAATCCAGTCCAGGGCATCTCAAACTTTCATGGGCATTCAAATCACTTGGACATCATGCTAAAATGCATATCAGATTCAGCAGGACTTGGGTAAGATCAGAGTTTTCATTACTGTCATGCTCCCAGTGATACTCTGGGTCCACGGACCCCACTTTGAGTAGTAGGAGTCTAGTCTAATCTATTTTAAAAAAATTTTAATGCTGGAATAGCTCCTTAAGTTTATTTCAAAGCCCAATAAAGAAAGAGTTGCAATCTGCTGTTTGTAAAACATGGCTCCAAATAATTTCAAAAGTGTCTTTCATTTATCTCTGTAATTCCACTGTTATCTTCCTAGCCTTGGGAATAGAAATCCTAGGCCTACACAGAAGTGGGGGTAGGGACTTCACAGCAAGAATGACTCAAGTATTACCTTTCCTGCCTGGCCAGCATGGCTCAGTGGTTGAGCACTGACCTAGGATCCAGGAGATCACGGTTTGATTCCAGGTCAGGGCACATGCCCGTGTTGTGGGCTCGATCCCCAGCAGGGGGTGTGCAGGAGGCAGCCGATCAATGGCTCTCTCATCACTGATGTTTCTCTCTCTCTCTCTCTCTCTCTCTGAAATCAATAAAGATATATTAAAAAAAAAAAAAAGTATTACCTTTCCTCTTGACTTAGGCTGAAATGCCCATCTGTTTCCTGGCCCTTTTCTCACTGTTCTAAACCTACACCTTGCAGCTATGTTAACAAATTGTTGAACACTTATTAAGAACAGAGCAGCGAACCAAGTACTTTATGTCTAATCACATATATTTCTGCAACCACCCTATGCAGGTATGCCCACTTCACAGATGAGAGAAGGTAAATAGCTCATAACTGGCTGAGCTGGGATCCCAGAGATTATGTTCTTGTGACAGCCAGCCTCCAAGATGGTCCCAGTGATCCTTGCCTCCTGGTGTTCACACTGAATAGGGCTGACCTGGTAAACAATAGAGTACTGAGGATGTGACAGTGTGTGACATTCTAGGCTCAGTTAGAAGCCATTGTGGCTTCTGTCTTGTACTCCCTTGGACAACTCCCTTTAGAAGAAGCCAAGTTGCCATGTCATGAAGAAGTCTACACAGCAATGGACTGAAGCTTCCTGCCAACGACCAGCACCAACTTGTTAGGCATACAAGTGAGCCACTGTGGAAGCAGATCCTCCAGCCTGTCAACCTTCGGGTGACTTGTAGCCCCGCTGACATCTTGACTACAACCTCATGAAGACTTCAAGAGAGAGCCATCCACCTAATTTCTCCCAAATTCCTAACCCACAGAAACTGTGTGAGATAATATTGTTTACTATTGTTTTATACTATTAAGTTTTGGGGTCATTTCTTATGCAGCAATAGATAACTAATAGAGTTCTTAACCAACAGGTTATATTGCATCATTAGGATTCAGCCCAAAAAGGAAAGTAAAAGTTTTATGAAGATCATTTGGATTACTTCACTGTGGCAGCTTGTGCCATGCAAGATTCAGCAAGTTTTCTTTCTTTTTTTTTAAATTTATTTTTCAATTGCAGTTTACATTCATATTACTTTGCATTAGTTTCAGGTGTACAGCATCGTAGTTAGACAATCATATACTTTACAAAGTGTTCCCACCTGATATTCCCAGTACCCACCTGGTACCATACATAGTTATTACAGTATTGACTATATTCCCTGTGTTGTACTTCGCATTCCTGTGACTGTTTTGCAACCACCAATTTGTACTTCTTAATCCCTTCACCTTTTACACCCAGTTCCCCAAGTCCTCTCCCTGGTTCAGCTAATTTTCAACCTTGCAACCAACTTTGTGAGAGGCATTACTTCCCCTTCAGACTTGACCAGATGACTTCCTGTAGCCAGCTGGGTATGGGAGTAGTAATGTTAAATCATATCGAACATAAGTTTTTAGAGATACTACAAGGATCTGCCTGCCCTCTTTAGCTTCTGCCCTCATTTGTAAACACAAAACATTCCAGAGAATGGAAGTTCCTTTATGCTGGGTCCCAAAATGAGAAGCCATGGAATAAGTACCTGAACTTGACCCCTAGCTTGGGGACAAGCTAAGCTGAGCCCAAGCAGAGGCACAGTTGACTTACAGACCTATGAGTGAGAAGTAAATGTCTATGGTGGTAATCCACAAGATTTTAGGTTTGCTTGTTACCATGGCAAAAGTTGAGCCATACACTCACCGTGCTGAATGATGCCATACTCCATAAGCCGGTGGCATAGTTGCTCTGCTTCTTTCCTTGTGGTGGCCTCACCTTCCTGAACCAGCCAATCCAGGAATTCAGATGCCATGAAGGTCCGCTCGTACTTGACCCCCTCCTCTTCCCGGAGCTGCAGGAGTGTGTTTTCAGGGCTCATCAGCCTGGGAGGAAAAAAGGGACACAAAATAAACCTATACAAAAGGAAAAGAGCTCATTTGAAATCCTACATTATAGGCTTCTATGTAGCATCACAGCAAAGTTGTCAGACAGACAGATGTGGCTGTCACGTGCTCACAAATGTAATTCTTAAAAGAAGGACCTGCTTTAGACATGAACAAGATGCAGTTTCTCCTAGTAATTAGGAAAAAAACTGAAAATGCTATGGAAACTCTAGCATTAGCAGACTGCATTCAGATAAGCCATCTTGAAGACTCCCATGATGAAATTTCCACCCTTACAAGAAGAGCCCCAAGAGCCTGGCCAGGTAGCTCAGTAGGTTAGAGCACCATCCCAATATGCCGTGGTTGTGGGTCCAATCCCTGGTCAGGGCACATACAAGAATTAACCAGGGAATGCATAAAGTGGAACAACAAATCAATATTTCTCTAAAAAAAAAAAAAAAAAGGAAAGAAAGAAATAGCTACTAGGCTGCTTTCCAAGGATTAGTCACAGCTGAGTTGGTGTGAGCAATAAGAATTATATTTAATATAATAATGATGAGGCCCTTCTTAGAAGATGGAAAGGACAACTGCTACATATGCATCAACCCAAGTGACAGAATCATGAAGACATTTTCTAGGCAACTATGTGCAAAGATGGTCACACCAGCTCCTCTCATGCTCCTTTCCAATGCGACTCCACTGCTTCTCCCATCAAACGATGGAGTCTGCTTCCCCTTCCCTTGAACCTGCACTGGCTTTGTGAATTGCTCTGACCAATTACATGCAGCGGAAGTGACATATGAGACTTCCAAGGCCAGGCCTTCAGAGGCCTTGCAGCTCCCAGCTTCACCCCCTTGTAATGCTATGATGAGACTGCCATGTAAGGAAGCAAGGCTCATCTCCTGGAGGTAAAGAGGTCACAAAGAGAACTGATGGGCTCAGGCAACAGCCAGCACCAATTCTCGGATACGTGAACGAGGCGATCCTGGACCTTCTAGCCCAGCTGACCCTCCAGCAACTGTTATGAATGAGCCTGAGATGAAAACAGCAAGGGAAACGCCATGCAACCCACAGAATCCAGAGAAATAATACATCATTGTTGCCTTAAACTACTAAGTTTGGGGTGATTTGTTTTACAGGAAGAGATAACATTCATACCAATGGGCAATGGCAAAAAGATGTGAAAACCCACAAAAAGAGGCATGTCACACCACCCAGAAAGTACTGAAGGAACAATGAACAAATACTGGGAGGTTCCGGAAATAAACTGCATGGAATAAAGCCACGTGGGGGCAGACCTGGCCACCTACATTGGTAATGGGACTCTAGAAAGGAGAACTGAAGAGTTCACGTGCATGCCCAAGTAGGCATACCACCATTTCAACCTTTCTTTTGACTCTCAAGATATTTTGGAGTGAAAATAGAGTAAAATTAGCCTAAGTTTTCCAGTTTCGTACATTATTTCATCTATGAAGTAGTCTGTAATTCCACAAATATGGACCATGTGCCACTTCCAAGGGCTCCCCTAGTTCCCTGCCAAATCCCCTTTCAGAGCCCTCGGGGAATCACCTACTCATAACTGTAAGCTTTTTGAGAAAAGAGTCCCTGTCTACGTGGTTTGGGAATGTTTCTAACACAATAGTTCCTAAAAAAGTATTTACTGAATGAATGACTGAAACTCATTTCTGTGCATTCCCCTGCAAGAGTGTATTAAAAATGACCCCCTTAGGATGTCCCCATGTGGAGGTGAGGTGAATCAAGAGTTTCCACCTTAGTGATTCCCTCCATTTAAGATACAGACACAGACGCCTGGCCTTCACCTCTGTTTCTAACCACTCTTCCAGCTCAGTGATTTTCCTTTCAGGGTATGAGGAGAACAAGTGGATGGGAGTTTACTGGTGTCACTTCTTATAACCAGAAACACCACCTGTCAGCCCTCTAGAGCTTCTGCTAAGTAGCTGGTGGCCTCCAGACAAGTGGCTGGTCAGCGGCTGCTGCCAAGAAAAGAGACCAGTTGGCAGGCTTGCCGGGATTAGCTTGGCTTGCCACTTTATTAAAACATGCACCACCACCCTCAGCTCTTCCTTATTTCATTTCCCCTTAAAATCAACTCATGTCCTCATCCAGGTTCCTCTCTTCAAGATAAAGCCTCTCATGGGATTTGATTTTAGTATTAATATGTAGTCACAGTGTTAAAGCAAGAATTTGACTTAGTACTTGTTCCAATTATGTTTTGCTATGTAACAAGCTACCCCTAACCTTGGCAGCTTTAAATAACCACCATTTAATTATATCCTAAGATTCCGTGGGTTGCCTGGGCCTCAACTGGGCAGTTCCTCTATCAGTCTTGCTGGAGGTAACTCATGCAATTGCAGGCAGATGGTGGCCAGGACAGGGTGTCTGGCCCTGTGGTGCTCCTGAGTCAACACAGCTTCCCTCTCCGGTGAGGCAGGCTGAACATTGAGATGCGGCACTGAAGAGGAAGGAAGCAGAAACTGCCAGGACACTTTAATAGTTTTATTGTGATATAGTCCACTTGCCATGCAATTAACTTATTTCATATGCACAATTCAATGGTATTTGATATATAAAGAGAGTTGGATATGCCACATTCATATACAAATTTTTCTGTGGACATACATTTCATTTCTCTTGGATATACACCTAGAAGTAGAATTGCAGGGTCATATGGTAACTCTGCTGATGTAATCTAATTTATCCATTTCTCTTTTGTCACATGTACTTTCCGTGTCCCATTTTGGAAACCATTCCTTACCTCAAGCCCATGGAGACTTACTCCTAAGTTTTCATCTAATTTTTTATTTAAATATATCTTTATTGATTTCAGAGAGAGGAAGGGGGAGGGAGGGAGGGAGAGAGAGAGGGGGGGGGAGAAA